GGGGCGCGCTTCTTTATATTTGCGAGTGTTAATATAGTGTTTGGTGATAAGTGTTAGATGGTGTAATAACAGTTCGAGGAGTATAGTCACAGAGGAAAACTTTTCCATGTTTGATATAAATTGTGTCAGGCATTGAGAAAATTTTCCCCAAAGGACTTCGAATAATTGCACTTCAAGAATAAGAAGTAAGGCTTTCGGCTTCGTTTTCACAGCAGGAACAAGAGTCAAACTGCTTAACTCCTACTAAACTAGAATTTCAACGAAAATCATTATAGGACTCGTCAATGAAGAAGTTTAAATTAAAACTCTTTCCTGTTTATTTCGTTGGTGCACTTAAAGCGAGCGAGTAAATCTGTCTTGTTTATAGCTGTATTTGTCTCTGTCATCTATTTAGCTTGGCTCATGAGTGGTGTTGTGGCTATGTTTTAGTGCGTCGTTGATACGTTTCCCTGCATATTTTTCTACTGGATGAAAAGGAGACTTCAAAGTATCTTTAGAGCCATTACTGCTGTTAATAAGTCAGTAAGTAAGTCGTACTAACATACTCTAGCAACTTTTTTCAAGGTGCTTTGAACAGCAAAAACTTGTAATCATTATAGTAATTAAAACTGGTATTGTAGTTTAAAATTTAATGCAATTCTTCACCTGGGTGCCTATTTGCACTGCTGCCTCTCACAATAGAGCTCGTGATCATGTCGCAAAAGAGGTTTACGGTGGCTCATTTCGTCGCAAACACAACTGTCAATCCGAGATCGCAACATCAACAAATTTAGTGCTTTACTTACAATGTAAGTGCATTTCAAGCTCGAAAACCTGGTATGAATATAGATGAACTTAAGTTGGAATAACGTCTTCTCATTCAAAGTTGTATCACCCTCAAGGAAACTGGCTGATTGCTTCCTCAAGCTGTCTGAAGGCAATTCCCCGTAAATTTTTTGCAAACCAAACTCGGCGATCGAAGCGTAGAAAAAAAATTAACTCAGCTATGCAAATTTATTATTCAAGAGACACTCCAATGCTCTGCTCCTCGTCTCCTCAGTCTCCTTGGCAACTGTCCTCCACAAAATGGAATCATTGGCCCCATCAAAAGATCATTACCACAGTTAATAAGAATTACAGGGAATTCCTTTCAATAAACCTTTTTTCCTATGTATCGACTCACTTGACCTGTGTCACAGGAGCCTTTTTCTCCCAAAGAAATCTCAGTTTAGTGAGTTCTGATATCCTTGAATTATGGGGGTAAATTCCTAAAGATACTATGGAGCTACGTCGGTGGGGGCTATTACAAGATAGGTAGGTTTTTCAAATTAGTTGACATTGGCCAACGTAGAAAGTTTCTAAAGCTGGGGTTTTGAGTGTTGGCCCTTCATCAAAGCGTTGGTCGGGCATCGGTGAGTCCACAGAGATTGCGATGGTAACTTCAATTACCAGGTCAATTTTTGCGACTCACTAAACCAATTTTTTGTTAAGTTAAGTTGTGCTTTACAAGTCTATTCTTAGCTTTCCCTTCCTCGCTGAAAAATTATGGTTTAACAAAAGCTTGTTACATTGAATTTAAGACGAAATCCTGAAATTTAGAGCGTACGCACCCATACTAAGGGCGGTCATTGAAAAATATTATGTGTACGATGAAATTATACTGACTTGGACTCCACGTCATATGTCTTTACTTAGCCTAGGCTTTGCACGTGCGACTTAAGAATCTGCTATTCTACTGAAGAAATATTTTGATGACTGAGTTCTGCACGCATATCAAAGATACATGTACAACCCCTCGAAAAAATCAGTTTCCATCTGCTTGGAAGATGAGTAAAGACAATGACTTTAGCTCACCAGAACTGTCTCAAAATGTGTGAGAGAAGATTAGGGAGATTTTAAAGCAGGTTTCGACCCTGTTGGAGCAACATATCAAAGAGTTAAAAACTGTACTAGCATCAGTGATAATTCGTTTCAAAGAAAAATTCCAACAAGCTTCCTTGAACATGCTCAGAGATTACAGGGAAACCACACCATTCAAATTCTCAATGTAGTATAGCTGTTCCTTTTGAAACCTTAGAAGAAGAACCTTTGGGCACCTTTCTGGAAGTGGTGAACAGGTCTGCCGAAATTTGTTTGTGCTTTTGCTACATTTGACACGCGTAAGTTCATATTTCGTGAGTCTGATCAATGTTTCCAAACGGTCAACTGCTTAAAAGAGTTTTCAATTTGTGGAAAGAAACCTTTACTAATATTCCCTTTTTAAAACGCAGGCGGATCACATGACAGGACGGATAACATGTTACGAGGTGGAGTGGCTCGTTCTCTATCCTTCAGTCTCCGATCAAGAGGCAGCTTTTGCATTTCAACTAAGATGCAAAGCCTTACAAATATTGTCTTGTCCTCTTAGATATTATCCGTTTTGAAGATGGATACTTCAAGTTTGTGTCCGGAGAGAATGAGATGACATCAGTAGCAGACGCCTGAGTAGTGCATCAGGATTCTCTTTCGATTTTCAAGGGCGATGACTTTGAGAACAAATGCCTATATCTGGCCTTGGTACTTTTCTTTTGTTAAGAGTGAATGAATAAGCGCCAAGCCATATGTGAGTGTTTCAAACTCACAGGCGTTCAGTTGCTAAAACGAAGCGGGGTCACTGGACGGAGTGATAGTGGTGGGTTAAGATGCATAAAAACGCCGTTCCGGCGTTACACGCCGACGCAAACTTTTCTTGTTTTTTCGCTCCGCTGCGTTGTTCCGTCACTA